GACATCTACCACAAGTAGGGGCCAAACAACAGAGTCAATGATTTAAGAGACTAATTTGAAATTATTTAAGAAGCGGAGGACCTAGTAGAAATTGCAATGATTTTTCGGAATATTTCAAAAATATTGAAGATTTGAGAGACTAATATTATTGAAGAAAACGCAATTAAGAAAGGATTTAGGGCCTAATATGACAAAAAAATTCTCTCTTTTGACCGTGCGCATCATATTGTGGGATCTATTTCTTTCCGTCATGTATTGTGCGTGCCAGAGAACTGCAAACTGTGAACTAGCGCGTGAAAATAAACAGGACGCAAAACAAGAATCCAAATAACAACGGAAATATCGAGACAAAAGCATTGCTTTCTAAACTTCTCATGCATTCTATGGCTCTTGTGGGGATAATGGTTTTCCCATTTTTGTACATAATGATGAGACTATATATCCCATTTTCTCTATGAAGGGTAAGAGCATAATACAGAACATTTTTACATTCTGATATCTTGATACCACTAGATATAGCGGATCAATACATTGTCACACTTTCTGATAGAATATAAAGTTATATCTCTTAACATTCGCCACAACATTAGAGTTTTGGTGTAGTGATATGGTATCAGATCAACTCAGATTTGTATCTCGCCAGCCATCATGAATTTCTAAGCGGGTTTTAAAGAATGTTATCCCTGCGTAAGTCTATGTTTCTATTCTAAAAAAAAATCCTCAGCTTACTGAGACATATAAGAATATAAGATTATATCACTCAACTACACAATTTTCTCTCTAAAAATATGCGAGGCAAAATTCTATAAATTTGACTAGATTGTAGATAGTTTCTACCGTGGTATTGATTTGTCCATTAAAATATATGTTGATTTCCTTTGATCACGATTGATATTCAATTGAACATTATCCAATCATTACCAATAGTCCATAATCGTGATAGGCTCTGTGGAAACTTAAAAGATAAACTTTGACATTTGTGACATGCATGTTTAATTGCGTGTACATATCACTCTCATTATTTTTCACGCTTTATCTTTCCTTAGAAATAACAGGTTGGTTTGGAGGGGGGATGGTGGGCAGGGCCGTCTCAAGCATTTTTGAGGTTCTAGGCAGAGAAAAATATTTAGGGCCGTAACATTTAAAAAAATAATTAAATATTAGTTTTTAAAAATAAATTTTATATAAAATTTAATTTTCTGGCTTTTTGAGATGCAAAGTTACTAATTAAATTTTATATTCAAGCTTTAATATTCAATTGATAAAATTGACAAATTATTTAATCTCTTGAGACATTGTTGAACGTAAATAAGATTTTAATAATAAAAAGATATAAAAAAAAATAAAAACACAAAATACAGAACATATACGTGAGCTATATATATATATGTATGTGTGAGAGGAGAATGAATGTAAATTAATTAAAATAAATAAAAACTAACAAGCTTACCTAGGGCCTTCTGGATTAGAATTGCAATTATATATTTATTAATGCTATGATTTTAGTCTCCCACATGGGATCTACTCATTCACCATTTACCAATCAATTTATTAATTTATTTATTTGAATAAATGAGATTGACCAGTCACATGAGAATGACCCGGGAACAATCATAAAGGTAGAACATATGTTGCAGTCCTCCGTAAGCAAAGGCCAAAATTAATTATAAAAATATGGTTTTTGATCTAATTGATTGCATCGCACATGCTATTGCTTTCGGATCAATACATAATCTTGATTATCTATTGAGAAATCCAATTATTCAACGAGGTATCACTTAGCTGTATCTAGTTTAATGCTATTTTCTCGATTGGAAAATTTCTTTTTGACAGTCTGCTTCACAAAAGATTATAATTATGATTGTTGTTATAATTTACAAAAACAATTATTTGTTTATAGTCCTTTGACAATGGTGTAGAAAGTGGAACATAACCCACAATCAATTTCGATGGAAATCATTTTTGCAAAGCGGACCCTTCCATATTTTTAATTGTAAAGAGTGACGATCGCAGTGAAACTAATAACTAATCTAATTGTAATGAACTAATAGATCTTTTGACAATTGTGATTGCTGTTATTTGTTTTATCCTTTGACAATTGTGAGTTGAAAATGGATAATAACTCGCAGTCAATTTTGATGGGAATCATTCTCCTACATTTTTAATTGTAAAAAGTTGCAGTTGCAACGAAACAAATAATTATGACCATGCTTTACAAACTGTGATTATGATTTGATCATGAGCTCACGCAACTGTGTAAATTTTTAGAAATTTTGCTTTAAATTCAAAGCCTGTGGGATTTGAATCTAAATTGCTATGATGACAGTTTAAAATAAGCCCTTATGAAAAGGGTCTAATGATATAGTATTATATATATTCTAACAAAAGTATATACATCTTACCAATTGTAAATAATATATTTATTTTTTTTAATTTTTTGTTAGTATATTCTTAGAAGAGACTTGTCATCTAGTTGAAAAGGGGGTCAAATTGAATTCTAGATCTGTTCTGTAGAAGAGCAATGATTTAATCTTTTATTAATCTATAAGTTTCTTCAATCTTTCTTTTGAATAGGGTTTTTTTTTCCTCAAATCAAAACCGAGCTCTGTAAAAGCCTGAATTTTCAAGTGCTTTCCTTTTCTCGGGGAAAAAAAGGGAAAATAAGATACCAAATGCAAATTACCTGTTAGCATCAAGATACATGAACAACCTTCATCCAACCAGACATTAATGATATATATACACAATAGCCCAAGTTCCATGTATAAATTCATTAGGTTCTCCTCTTATTCTTTTAGATTGACGGAAGTTTTAGAAGTAAAAAAGGGAGTAAAAGAAGTAATTTACTCAATTAAGAAGTAAGAAGTGGCAAAAATAACATTTTTTATTTTTTACATGTATTTTTAGTAGTGGAAAAAGTGATTCGTATTCAAAATTTTCCTTCTCATTTGGATATATATTATTAGGGAGTAACTAATACATATAGCTTCAATACTATTCTTATTTGGATTGTTATTGAAATAGCGGATGTAGTTGACATGTACACAGTGGTAAAATTACCTCCATTTCTCACTATTAACTTACGGTCATCCAAATCATCAAATGGTATATGAATTTCATTCATACTTGAAGATATAAACAAATTATCGTTATACATTTGATTTGAAAAATCTTTTCGCCCCTTTTGGATTCTACTCATGAAAAATCATCTAATGTTACGTGAGAATGTTCCCAAACCTTTCAAAGAACCACTGCCTCCCTCATTAATGCAATGCCGAAAAATAAATTCCCCCCAAAAAAATCATGTATGCACGTAATGCTTCTCATTAAAGAATTCTAGCACAAAAATACAAACAATAAACGCAAGATAACTCTTTCACAAGTGAGATGTGATACAACAACAAACATAGACACTGTCCTAATATATTTCCATTTAGTTGTAGCACATGGATGCTCGTCAAAGGAGAATATCACTATGAGATTTGATTAGTTTTGAGAGGTTTTATTTGCTTCTAAGAATCTCTAATTTCATGCAGACCTCATTTTTTACTATTTGTTTATCTGAAAAGTTATTTACGATACTTCATTACATACTGACATGAAGCATGCATGTCATCCATATTTCTTCAATCTTTTTCCTGCATTTAACTCTCAGAAGTACATCGAAAGTAGCTGAAATTGAGCAAATTTAAGAATAAAATTATTTTTCATTACATGGATATTCTCTACGTCTAAATAAAATCTCTAAAGATCTTAATTCTCTCCTCCTAACAACTTTATAATGGTTATCCAAACAAAAAAAGTAAATCAACAGGAAAAATATTATTTTATCTACTTCCAAAAATTAATAAAAAAATCAAAAATAAAATAAAATAAAAACCTCGGCTACTTTCTACTTAGAAGTAATAGATTTAATCTATTTGTTGCTTACATGTCATCAAAGGGCCAAGAGGGAGAGTCGCATATTTTCCAAATTGCCTTGAGGATTCATCTGCAAATTATCCTTGAAAACAGTTTTGGAAATTATCCTTCTAATGTTTTTTTATTTTTTTATTTATTATTTTTTATTTATTTTTTCGTTGTGGGGTGGGGGGTTTGGATACCGCGTATTTTCCAAACTGGTTTTGGGGAAAAAATCAAAACCTGCACGTCAACAATACATACTCTTTCTCTCTCCTACCAAATCCAGAAATATATCATCAATCACCCAAATAGACAGCAAACAGCCACAAGCCAGCCCCTCATCATTTTAGGGCCTGTTCGTTTGTTTTCTAAAAACCAAGAAATGGAAATGGAAATGGTGAAAATCTCAAAACTCACCATTTCCTCCATTTCCATCCCTAAAACTCACCCACAACATCCAATAAAATATTATTTTTATCCAACAACTCATCCACATCATCTAATAAAATATAATTTTCATCTAACCACTCATCCATCACATCTAATAAAATATTATTTTTATCTAACAACTCATCCATCACATCTAATAAAATATTATTTTCATCCAAACATCACTCAACTCATCTCTTCTCATCATTTCAAATCACTCACATCATCCAATAAAATATTATAACAATTCACCTCATCTCATTAACATTTCATTTCTTCATTTTCATCCCAAAAAGTTATGAAAACACTTTTCTTAATCTTTCTTCACATCACCCAATAATACAATGACAACTCATCTCATCTCATTTCATTTCTTATTTTTAAGAATGAACCGAACAAAAGAAAACAAGAAACTACAGGAAATAGGTTTCTTATAATTCATTTCCTTATTTTTTTCGTCAACCGAACACTCCAAAACTAGTTTTCTTAAAAAATCACAAACATCATCCAATAATAAGGTGACAACTAACATCATTTCAATTTCATTTCTTTGATTTCCTTCTTTTTTAGCCAACCAAACACTCCAAAAACAATTCTTCATTTTAATAGTTTTCCATTTCTTTGATTTCCCTCTTTTTTTTAGGCAAACGAACAGGCCCTTAACCTTTCATATCTTTCTATGAAATAGCAGGCCAAAACAAAAACCAAAGCCAAGGCTTGATACACAGCCTTTTTTTATTCTTGCCCACATCAAGACTCCATGGACTCTGCTTTGAACTTTTCACATCCGCATTCAATCATCCCAAAATCCCATATTTTCACCCTTTTCATGTTCTGATAGTTGATTCAGAAGAGACCCATTTGTTTGTTTTCTTTGGGAGAAAATGGAGAGGTTTTGGCTTGGGAGGGGCTATTTGTTCTTGCTGCTCTCTTTGCTGTGTCAAAGTTTGGATCTTGCTGCTTCTGTTAATGATGAAGGTATGGTCTTTTTGATGATTTTGACATGGTTTTTTTTTTTGTGTCAAGATTGAATTTTGGTCAAATAAGTTGTGTGGGTTTTTTTTAGGAAGGGCTCTGTTGAGGTTTAGAGAGAGAGTTACAGCTGACCCTTGTGGAGTTTTGTTAAATTGGATTGAGAGGGATGATGATCCTTGCAATTGGTTTGGAGTGGAATGCTCTGGTGATGGAAGAGTTGTTTCTTTGTAAGTCATGCTAATCTCCAATTATTTTCTGCCTGGTTTTATTTATTTATTACATTTGGTGTTTTCTTTAGAATTGGTTTGGCTGTCATGTCCTGATTTATCTGATTTTTTTAGATTAGTCTTTGGGTAAATTAATGTTCACCTCTACAAGTTAGGCCAAATTGCTACATTATCCGGACGTATGTTTATCCCTAGCACTAACTACATGATCAGAGAAGTGGAAGTTGACTCTCCTGGCGAGCACCCATAGAAATTTAATTTTCTGGAATACCCGAGGCCGTGCGTTATCGGATCATGAGGAAGTTCCCTCTTCAAACCTAAAAAAACAAAAAGAGAAGTGGACGTTGTAGATTTGTGGTCTGCGAAAATAAAAAGATCCGCTAATTGAAACCCAAATATAGTAGGTGGTCTGGAGTTGATCACCGGATTTGCAGCCTTATCAGCTTTTCTGGTGAATTGCTAGCATTTTCTCTAGGAGAACGTGCGATTATACGAAAACGCATACTGTGCAAAAGTAATGGAGATGTTTTTTTACTGGGCCAGCGAGTGTAAGGACTTTGACACAGATTTCATTAATGATAAGAGTAAACAGAAATAGACCAGGAATCAAAGTTTACAAAAATTGTTAACTTCTCCAATTGGAAGCCATGATACTAAACGGTGAAGGTTTCTATGATGAGAAATTCCTGTTAAACTGAGAATTTATCCCGTTGATTCTTTACTCGATCATTGTGCTTATTAAACAAGTGTTATTAAGAACTTTCCTGAGAATTTTTTTTCTTGCTTCTGTTTTGTCGGCAGATTTAGTTATGCATTTCTTGCTTCAGTTTGTTGAGTTATTGTGGGTATTCTAGGAGACTCAGTGACATTTTAGATAAGCCCCATCTGACAGGAAATTTGTTGTTATAAATGTGTTAAAGAGAGGTTATTATACTAGCTGCCGGAGAGTAGAATGTATCCCAATTCAGCTTCAAATATTACTTTCTGGATATATATCATGGATTAATAGTTGTTACCCCTACTTGGCTACTTGAGATTATTTCTTATGAGCTTACTCTTATGACTTTTTCCCATACTTTGTTTTTCAATTACAAAAGATAATGGACGTGGCCTGTCTCTCACAAAGCCACTTATGTAACTGCTTTCTTTTTTCCTCCATATGGACATGTGCTCGTTCAATTTGATGTATAATTATAGTATTTGTGCTGGTGTTAGCATCATCTTTTTTTCCTGGGAGCATGATAATCTCAATATTCTTGTAGGATCTTGAAGGATTTTCTTCTCGAGGGGATACTCGCACCTGAGCTTGGGAAACTTGTCCACTTGAAGTCTCTGTAAGCAGTCATCTAAGCTCATGAATTCACCAGGCACTGGTCGTAAAGCAATTTTTATTGTCTTTGTGCAAAAATCTTTTGGGTCCACGTTACACATTTTAGGCCTAATAATTTACTTACATTTCTAATTTTCAACCAATTTGGATTATGAGTTTGATATTTGAAAAAAAAAACTTAATCATGTATATTGTTAGTTCTGAAAGATCTTGGAAACAAACTTGTTAGAGCGCTGTGTCGTATTCTATCTATATTAACTTATTGATAGGTTAATTTTCCCTTTACCTCATATCCCTACAGAGGAAATCAATGTTCTCATTATTGATGTTTTTGTTTACTTATTCAATTCATGCAGTATTTTGCACAATAATTCTTTCTGTGGAACGATCCCAAAAGAGTTCGGTGACTTGCAGAAGCTTGAGATATTAGACTTGGGACATAATAATCTCAGCGGTCCATTTCCTTCTGCTATTAGCAGCATTCTGTCCCTGGAAGTTCTGTGAGTAAAAATTCGTCATCTAATTTGATATTTGATTCATAACTCCATTCTCATTAGTAACATTCTACTCCTTTCATAATTAACCTACTGCAAGTGTATTAAGAAGCACTAGGTATACATCCAACATACCCCCAGCACTCAATGAGCTCACTGTACTCTCTGAGCTTCCGGTTGATGAACAGGAATCATCCTCAAATAGGCTTGCTGTTAAAAGGTAAGGTTATAATCTCACCTTATTAGTTTGAAAGTTAGGCAGTAGCATCGCTTATAATAAAGTACAGGCATAGTAAAGATTTTGTATTGGTGTACATATGCTTATCATACAGCGTAGATAATGCATATCTTTACGATTCATCATTTCCCAAATATATATTGGCTAATGCGCTTGTTCATTCATGCTAAAAGATGATTTTTTATGCTTGTAGGAAGATAAAGATAAAAAATGCAACCACAAGGAAACTTCTTCAAGAAGTCAGTGAACACAAACACCATCATCATAGACATCGAAGTCATAAAACTGTCGCTCCTGCTTCAGCACCATCGCCGTCACCAGCACCATCACCGTCACCATCACCAAATTCACTGCCTCCCTTCTTCCGGTCAAAATCATTATCATCTCCTTCACCATCTCCCTCATCAGAATCATTTCCGCCGGCCCCCACTCCCCCTCGAATTAATCATGCTTCTACTCAGAATCTTCTTAACTCGGCAAAATCTCTTCCTCCTAATGAAGCTCACCCTCCCTCGAGAAAAAAGCACCACATTCCCTTGATAGTCTTATTGTCAGTTGCAGCTGGTTCTTTCTTTATAATAGTGCTATCTGTTATATATTGCTTTTGTTGCCGAGCCAACAAAGTTGTCGCTGTTATGCCTTGGAGAACCGGCTTAAGTGGGCAGTTACAGAAAGCATTTGTGACAGGTAGGTGCATTCTGAATTCACGTACATGCCTTCACTTACTTGATCTGTATATCTGTACTGTTGGGCGGCAAAGGTCCATTAAAGGGAGATGGACTAGGCTAATCTTACTTGGATCTGACTCAAAAAGATTAACCTTATTTGAGTCATGAATCCAAGCATATTTAAACATAGGGTCAATTGCACATAGACCCCTTGTAGCTTCATTGTTTTGGACTTCCTATGCTTCTAGTTTCATTGTTGCAGATAGACCCCTGGGATTATTTTTTTGACTCTTTTACCCTCTGATAAATTCAGTAATTTCACCCATGGCAGTATCTTCCAAAATTTCAGGTGGACAAAACAGTCAAAAACTGTAACCCACAGGGGGTCTAATCTTCAACAATGAAACTACAAGGATAGTAAAGCAATATTACAGGGGTCTACGAGTAATTAAAACCTATACACATCTGACTATTTTTTTCGATGTGAGACGCTCTTAGCACATACTATCCCATGGCAGGTGTACCTTCCCTAAAACGGTCAGAGCTAGAATCAGCTTGTGAAGATTTTAGCAATGTTGTCGGCTCTTTATCAGATTGTTTTCTGTACAAGGGAACACTATCAAGTGGAGTTGAAATTGCAGTTATGTCTAGTATCATAACTTCTGTCAAAGATTGGTCAGATCATTATGAAGCCCAATTCAGGAAGAAGGTGAGCACTTTCTATTTATTTTATTTAAGATACTTGTGATTTATGCAATATCTCTAACCCTTTGTATTCTGCTGCCTATGTTTCAGATATCGGTGTTGTCCAAAGTGAACCACAAGAATTTTATGAACCTTATTGGATTTTGTGAGGAGAAGGAGCCTTTCACCAGGATGATGGTTTATGAGTATGCACCCAATGGGACGCTTTTCGAACACTTGCACAGTGAGTAACTTTTATTACCATTGCTTCAATGACGTTTTCTAGGTCCATTTACATAAGGGTAATTGCACATCGACCCCCTGTAGTATTGCTGTTTTGAATTTACTGCCCTGTAGCTTCATTGTTGCAGATAGCCCCTGGCTTAATTTTTTGACCCTTTCACCCTCGAATAGACTCGTCTATTTCACCTGAGGGAAATATTTGCCAAAATTTCACCCAGGGTAAAATAGTTGAAAGAGAAAAAAAACAGGGGGTCTATCTGCGACAATGACACTCTAGGGACAGTAAGTTCACAACAACGATATTAAGGGGGTCTATCTGCAACAAACCCTTTCTATAAGTATGCAAGTTATTTATATTCGTGTAAACAGAGATAAATAATCCTTATTAACCTTTTCTGATATTTTTCCATCTGACTTGTTTTACATCAAACTGATCCAAATTACCGTTGATCACAGTTAAAGAAGCAGATCACTTGGACTGGGCTGCTCGCTTAAGGATCATCATGGGCATAGCATACTGTTTAGATCACATGCACCAACTTAACCCCCCCTTAGTTCTCAGAAACCTAAACTCCTCTTCCATTTATCTCTGCGAAGATTATGCTGCCAAAATATCTGATCTTTCATTTTGGAATGAGGAAAAAGAATCTGACCAATCTTTTGAAACCTCGGGAGTTCTTGATTCCAAATTATCAACACAAGAAGGAAACATCTACAAGTTTGGAATCATATTGTTAGAAATAATATCAGGAAGGCTACCTTTTTGTGAGGATGATGGGCTGCTTGTGCTCTGGGCTTCAAGTCATCTAAATGGGAAGAGGCGACTTATGGATATAGTTGATACAACTCTAGAATCTTTCAATGAAGAAGATGTTGTTGCTCTTTGCGAAGTAATAAAATCGTGCATAAATCAAGATCCTAAGAAGAGACCGACAACGGGAGAGGTTGTTGCTCAGTTGAGGGAGATCACGGCAATGTCACCCGATGCAGCTAGTCCAAAATTGTCACCACTGTGGTGGGCAGAGCTCGAGATTATTTCTACAGAGAGTAACAGCTTACAATAGATGTTGGTTTTATTTGCGAAGAGAATAAAATTTCATTTTGGAGGGTTTATTTTTGTCAAATATTTTTTTACACCTCTGCGTTTGTTGTTCATATTTTGTGATTATTTTTTAAACATTGTACATATTTGCAAGCTGGCGGGAGCTTGCTTGTCACTGCTTGTGCAGAACTAAGATGATATTTGAATTAGTAAAGATAATTTTTTTTAGGGATTGGTTTTTGATAGAGTTGGTTCATTATGAAGAATGGTGAAAATGTGTGATGAGATGATAGAAATTGTGGTTGAGGTTTGGCTTGTCTCAGCTATGCCCTGTCAATTGCAGTTCTTGAAATTTCAAATGCTACAGCTACTTTCATTAGATGATATATACGCACAAAGGTGATTCAACTTTTTCTTCCATTCTTTTGGATGCAGTAGTAAATCCAGTGCTGAGATCAGATCTCGATTTAAATTAGAAAAATACTTGTTGCTTATTATTATTATTATTATTATTTTCAGTCAGTAATTACTGACTTGGTTGAATTGTTTATTGTGATAATTACTAGCACAATAATCTTTCTTCTCAGTAATTGCTGAAAGAAGGCTTCATGACAATTCTATTAGAGGGAATTTGCATTCATTCAGCATTTAATCACCTAAGGTGAGCACCAATTCCTAATAAATAAAATAAAATAAAATAAAGAAGAAAGAGGAGGAGGTTGAGGAGGAGAAAACAAGAAATTCTGTTCACTTTCTCCACAGGGAAGTACCAATGTGATTCCCAACTGACACGAATTAGTTTTATGACAGTGAAGTATCTCATAGGGGAATACCAATGTAATTCCCTTAAAAAACCACAAAAAACAACTCAAAGGGGGGAAAACTAAAAAATGCCTCTTCTCTTAGAAATCCAATGATTTTCCAAACATTTCATTGATATCATCCATGGCTTCCCTAGTGAAAACGGTCGGTTCAAACAAATCATTTTCTCCACCAACCTTGGAGGAGAATTTTTTCGGAGCCTGACGCGTCGAACCTTCTTCCAATTCATCATCAGCTAATATACAGAAACCCTCGCTCGCTGGTTTCTTTTCTGTCAGTTTGGCTTGCTTCTTTGGTCTGCTTGCTCTAACAAAATTCAGCGGTTTACCAAACATGCTGTTAATATCATCCATGGCTTCCTTCAGGTTAATAGTGGGGTCCACCAAACCGTGATGCAATGCATTCTCCACCTCTGGGTCGTCGAAAACAGTGGACCCCACAAATCTCCGAATGACTGTGTCACCATTTATCCGAACATCTTCAGATCTATAGGTTTTGGTTTCAATACTATCTGATTTAGGCTCTTCCTTAAGCTCTTCATCAACATCATTTTCCTCGTCGTCATCATTATCATCATCATCTTCTGTCCATATCTTGAACGCACCAACAAAGGGCTGCTGTGCCTTGACTTCATTTTTTCCTGGTGAATTAGGCTGTGCTTCGTCTAAGCTTTCATCAACAAAAACTTGAAGCACATTGCTCTGCTGGTTTTCCTTAGGCTTTGGATTAATTTGGCGCATTCTTCTTCTGGCAACTGGATCTTGCTCCAAGGGTTCTTTAAACATGCTGCCGATAGCATTCATTGCCTCCTTCATGTTGATCGTGGGGTCCACCAGGCCGTGGTGGCAAGCATCTTCTGCTTCAGATTTGCCTACAATTGCAGAGCCTACAAACTTCACCACAACAGTGTCATCACCGCAAGAGGTTGACCTGTACACATTCTTAGCAGCATTTCCTTCATCCTCGGGGATTGTGCTAGCTGTTTTAGAATTAAGATTTTTTTCATTTTTTGATAAAAGTCCATGGAAATAGTAAATAGCTTTGTTTAGATTGGTAATGGTATTATGGCTCATTTCCAAAGAGGTGATGGTTACCTTTACAGCATTCCGTAGAATTTATGTGTTCAAAACGTTTGTGTTGATCCCGAGAATTGATCTTAGAAGCTGATACATGAGATGTCTCACCTGCACAATTTCGTACAAAATGCAAGACAGTTCATTGACTTCTGATTTTTTTTACAGGAAAATATTACATTATAAAGGTAAGTTAATAGAACCTCAAATTTCGGAATTGAAGATAAGAAAATATGATAGACCTTTCTCTAATCTTTGGTTCTCTGTCATTGTAGTTTTCCCTTGCTGAGAAGGAATGCCATTGTTGGTGAGCATTGCTTTCTGCATCTAAAATATTGTACAAACAGGTATATAATATATTACATATTTGGAAAAGAATAACATACAAAACAAACAGAAGACGTGAGTATTACTTTCTTTTTCCTTTCCTTGAGGAGCTTCATACGATGAAGAAACTGATCATATGATTTTTGTATCTCGGCTGCGGGCTCTGCAAGACTATAAACTGTTTAATACCCAATGTACAAATAGAAACTAGATAGAAAGAGCAACTAGCTTAATGCTAATGAAATCGAGAAGCAAAAAGAGGATGGGGGAAAAAACGAAGAAGCAAGAGATTCAAGACAATAAAAATCTATAGAGATGAAAGAAAATTGAAAAGTACTGGTTACTTATTTCCTTGAAATTCAAGGTGACAACTAATTGTCCTGGTATCAGAGGTCTCAGAGGTCAAGACAACAAAGTGTCCTTTAGTATGCCTTTCCAGGGGCAGCAAACAAAACTAATGAAAAGTTCGCTTTTAAGTTAGGGAGTCACCCGTATGTGGATGAGCCTTGAGACAGTGGAAGTTGGATTGAAAAATTATCACGTGGTTCAGTAATTATTCATACAATTTCTAATTTAAATTTGAATTGGAAGATCATTTTAAACAGAATATTAGCATTCATACACTCACCGCATTTATCTAAGCAAACATTTCATTTGTAAATTTTAGCTCTCATATGTTAGTTTAATACACAGATATGACATTATGTTTTGTAAGGTTCAGTGCTTGTTAAAGCTCAACATTTAGCCATCTTCTCCTTCTCAAGGAACAATTCTCAAATCGAATTTCTTAACCAAATATATAAATTAGAGATTCATATGTCTCTCATCGTAAAGGAATAATTGATTAACTTTATTTGGGAAATATATTCATCTCTTAGACATAAAATTGGAAAAGATCCAAAAGAATGCCTTCTTCAATCAATACCTGAATTCAAGAAAAGAAAATGGCCAAGGTCACTGCTAACAACGCAACTAGAAAACTCACTAGTTTCAAAAGACTTTTAGGAACAAACTCATGAGATACTTATGATTCAGAGAAACCTTAAACATTAAAAATAAATTTCATCCTAAAAGTTTGGCAGAAAATTGCATCTGAAGCTAAAATAGCCATCAATTCAATTACCAACATAAATAGTCTCATAAAAGAAAAGGAAGCCTTACTTTTGAACCCCCAAACGATACATATTCTCTGCCTTTTCAAACTTCTTCTTCTTCTCATAATATAAAGCATACGCAGAGTAAAACATAGCTCGCTTCAATCCAATCTGGTTATTCTCCATCTTCCTCAAAATAACCCTCGCATCATCCACATAATCCATCTAAAATGAAATAGATTAAACATAAAAACACCTAGAAAAAAAAGAGAAATTCACCGAAAAATGAAGTTCATTGATCTCAGGAATTAATAAGTATTCCTAAGGTTATTTGTCGAGCTATATAGCATCAAATGAACTATCCATTTCCAAGAACTAGAACGGCTATACAAAGCTACTACCTTTTGCCCCATTTTCAAACGAACCGAATCCCAAAATGACTAAAGCACAAGGAAAAATGACAAAATAAGAAATGGGTTTCTCCGCAATTTGTCTACAATCACATTACCAACTGAATCCAAACACGAATGTATCTCGAATCGTTTCGATACCGACGGTCGGATTCAAAGGCCTCAGCGCATTTCTGAAGGAATCGAGGGAGCTTCTCTCTGAGAATCTGAGGAGGTAGAGATTCCTTCATCTTTCGAATGCCTCTACGGCAAAGAAAGAACAAATCTTTAGTGATTA